CCCCTAGAGGACAGAGTGGAACTGCCCTACAGGGTTTCCAAGGCGGTCAATCTTTACGGAAGGAGACTACTTCATCTTTCTCCCGCAGAACTGCTGGTGGGTTTAAACCACAAACTTTTAGGTTTGCAGCTAATCACTTTAACCACTGCACCACCAGAACTCCTTAAGCAATAAATAAACTCACTGCCATCAAATCAATTCCAACTCACAATGACCCCCACAGGGTTTACGAGGCTGTAAATCTTTACGGAAGCAGACCACCCTATCTTTCCTCTGTGGAGCCACTGGTAGGTTTGAACCAATGATCTTCTGGTTAGCAGTCAAATGCCTTAACCACTATGCCACCAGAGCTCTTCTGAGCAATAGTCAATAATAAATAAGACAAATGAGTAAGAAGTTTTTTGTTTTTTGTTTTTTTTCCTAATCTAAGTAAAATTGATTCTCTGAAGACTGACTTCATTGGAAAATACAAATGGACCAAGAAAGAGAGTAAACATGCCATCACACATACCTGCTTCAGATCCATGGACTGCTTCAGGATGTTTCTCTTCAATTCCTCAGCTCTCTTTGCATGAAAAGAATTACTTTGACTCTGGATGACAAATACAATTTGTTTCAAGTCTAGAAACAAACAAACATACAGTTTTAAAGCATTTCTTTCTTAGACAAGGAGCACAGTGGTACAGGGTTTAAAGTGCTTGGCTGCTAACCAAAGTGTCAGGTGTTCAAAACCCACCAGCTGCTCAGTGGGACAAAGATGAGGCAGGCAGCTTCTGTAAAGACTGACAGCCTTGGAAACCCTGTCGGGCAGTTCCACTCTGTCCTCTAGGGACGCTGTGAGTTAGAATCGACTCCATGACAGTGGGTTTGGTTTGGGCTTTGCTTCTGTGAAGACTGGCAGCCTTGGAAACCCTGTGAGGCAGTTCCACTCTGTCCTCTAGGGGCGCTGTGGGTCAGAATGGACTCCACGGCAGTGGGTGTGGTTTGGGCTTTGCTTCCATGAAGATTGACAGCCTTGGAGACCCTGTGGGGCAGTTCCACTCTGTCCTCTAGGGGCGCTGTGGGTCAGAATGGACTCCACAGCAGTGGGTTTGGTTTGGGCTTTGCTTCTGTGAAGACTGACAGCCTTGGAGACCCTGTGGGGCAGTTCCACTCTGTCCTCTAGGGGCGCTGTGAGTCAGAATGGACTCCACAGCAGTGGGTGTGGTTTGGGCTTTGCTTCTGTGAAGACTGACAGCCCTGGAAATCCTGTGGTGCAGTTCTACCATGTCCCATATGGTCACTCTGAAATTGAAAACAAGGAAAAAACAACAGCTACAAGGCAAGCCTTCAGGACATAAACTCTAAAAGAAAACATAGGATTCATATGTAATGCTACAGACAGAATCTCTTCTCAAACTGATCTTTGAAACATCCTTCCTGGCAAGTTTGCAAAGAGGATCACTGTAGCAGTAAGTCAACAGTAACAAACTGAGCCTTGGCTCTGGCATCTGTCACAGAAAATGGTGCAAATGTGTGAGTATGAAAATATCACCCACATTAGCTTCCGTATTGTTCCTGGGTGAGGACAATTCGACTTTCAACTCTTAGCAACCCCACGTGACAGGGCAGAACCGCTCACTACGTTTCCTAGTCTGCAAAATTCACGAGAACCGATCACCAGGTCTTTTCTCTCAAGGAGCTGCTGGGGTTCAAACCACCAACGTTTCGATTAGCAGCCTACTACTTGACTGAAAAATTCAATGTTTGCAAGTAGCCTTTTCATACTTCCCACATAACCCTGAACTGTGCTGGTAGCACAAGAGCACCAGGGTGGCCTGAAACCCTGCACCTGTGAAAGGGATTTGTTTGGAAACAGGGTTTTCTTTTATTATGTTAAAGGGGCCCTAGTAGCTCTGTGGCTAAGGCATTATGCTGCTAACCCAAAGACTGGCAGTTCGAACCCACCAGCTATTCCAAGGGAGACAGATTGGGCAGTCTGCTTCCATAAAGATTTACAGCCTTGGAAACCCTATAGAGGTCATTATGAGTCAGAATCCACTTGATGGCAGTGCGTTTGGTTTTGTTTTCTGTCATGTTAATGAGGACATACAGGAGCAGAGTGGATCCCAAACCTAATACCATCTGTGGTTGAGTACCACCAAGCTGATCCAAACCACAACGCCCCTAGAGAACAGAGTAGAACTGCCCCACAGAGTTTCCAAAGCTGTCAGTCTTCACAGAAGCAAAGGCCAAACCACACCCACTGCTGTGGAGTCCATTCTGACCCACAGCGCCCCTAGAGGACAGAGTGGAACTGCCCCACAGGGTTTCCAAGGCTGTCAGTCTTCACAGAAGCAAAGCCCAAACCACACCCCTGCCGTGGAGTCCATTCTGACCCACAGCGCCCCTAGAGGACAGAGTGGAACTGCCCCACAGGGTTTCCAAGGCTGTCAGTCTTCACAGAAGCAAAGGCCAAACCACACCCACTGCTGTGGAGTCCATTCTGACCCACAGCGCCCCTAGAGGACAGAGTGGAACTGCCCCACAGGGTTTCCAAGGCTGTCAGTCTTCACAGAAGCAAAGCCCAAACCACACCCACTGCTGTGGAGTCCATTCTGACCCACAGCGCCCCTAGAGGACAGAGTGGAACTGCCCCACAGGGTTTCCAAGGCTGTCAGTCTTCACAGAAGCAAAGCCCAAACCACACCCATGCCGTGGAGTCAATTCTGACCCACAGCGCCCCTAGAGGACAGAGTGGAACTGCACGACAGGGTTTCCAAGGCTGTCATCTTTATGGAAGCAGACTGCCTCATCTTGTCCCACGGAAAGGCTGGTAGGTTCAAACCACCAACTTTCTGGTTAGCAGCTGATTGCTTTAAGCATGTGCCACCAACAGACTTGGAAACCCTATGGGGGAAGTTCTGCTGTGTCCACAATGTTGCTTTGAGTCAGAATCAACTTGACAGCAGTAGGTTGGATTTTGGTACCCTTAACAGAGAAAACCCTATTCCCAAATAGGATCACATCCACAGTGTAGGGGTCTAGGAGTCACATCACTATTTGGGAGGGATGCAATTCAATTCATCACATGACCATTGATGAAAATTCAAAAAAAAAAATAGACAGGACATTCTTTACGTGTTATTATAAATATGAACATTCCATATACCTATTGCCACCCTAACCCATGTTCTTGGCTCTGTAAACCAGCCACATGAACAAGGCTTACACTGGTATCACATGTTTCAAATGAAATGCTACTTGCGATCCCCAGCGCCAAACACATTAGCATAAATGGACATACCAAAGGAGAAGTTACAGAGATTCAGTGTGGAGTAAACACAGTTCAGGGAATAATTTCACACCATTTCATAAAATGGGAGATGCACACTCCCTAATAAACCAGAATTCCACTCTGGTTAATCTTCCATCGACTCGCCTATATATGCACAAAAATCTATTACAAGTGTGTGTTCGCAATGGCACGAGAAAGAGTGAGACTGGAAGCAACCCACATATCCACTAATGAGGCATATAAACTGGAATCCTATACAGCAATGAAAATGAACTCAGAGCCAATGCTCTGTAACAGACATCTTTAGCACAGTTAAGGAAACTATACAAACTAAGCTACACGCAACAACCCAGGCAGATACTGTGGCTGACTCACAGATAAAACGTGGAAAGAAAAGCAAGCTGCAAAGGCAAAGCTATGTAAACAGTTTGCAAATATAAAAGCACAAATATATACAAAATAGATGTGTATGAACATGTGTGTGTCTGTGTGTGAATAGATCTATCTGTACCTACGAAGGAGCCCTGCTGGCACAATGGGTAAGTGCTCAGCTGCTAACAAAAAGGCTGGCGGTTCAAATCCAACAGTGGCTCTGTGGAAGAAAGAGATGGCATTTTGCTCTTGTACAGATTGAACAAACAAAAAAAAAATCTTGTTGCCTTGCAGTACTTTCCGACACAGAGCACCCTTAGAAGACAGAGTGGAACTGCACCACAGGGTTTCCAAGGCTGTCAGTCTTCACAGAAGCAAAGCCCAAACCACACCCACTGTCATGGAGTCCATTCTGACC